CCAGACGGTCAAATCGGACGGGTAGACCCTAATGGGCGGGTCCGGAAGGCGGGCCCAGGCGGCCAGGTCGAGCAGGGGGGTTGCTGAAGCGTACGTCCTGCATGAATTGCAAGGAAGTCTCGAGCGATAGCGCGATTCCCAAGTGAATAATGAAAAAGGCCAGAGCGAGAGCCTGAGTCCTGAGTGTCGAGGGCGAGGCGAAGAATACAGCGCAATGGAGTGCCACGCCAGAGCGCGATTCCTGAATAAGTTGTGAGGAAATCCTGCGCGAGGACACGATTGTCGAATAAATTGTGAGGGCGTATCAGGCAGGAGCCGCTGTTGAACCCGCTGTTGTTGTTGTTGTTGTTGTTGTTGTTGTTGTTGTTGTTGTTGTTGTTGTTGTTGTTGTCGTTGTTGTTGTTGTTGTTGTTGTTGTTGTTGTTGTTGTTGTTTTTGTTTTTGTTGTTGTTGTTGTTGCTGTAACCTGGGGGCCAAGAATTCCTGAAAATTCCTAGGAATCCTTAGGAATCCTTGGGAATTCCTAGGAATCCTTCGGGATTCCTAGGAATCCTTACGAATTCCTACAGAATTCTTAAGATTTCGTAGGATTCCGGAGGAATTCCTAGGAATCCTTAGGCATTCCTGCTAATCCTTAGGCATTCCTAGGAATCCTTCGGAATTCCTACGGACCCTTAGGAAGTCCTAGGAATCCTTAGGAATTCCTAGGAATCCTTAGGAATTCCTAGGAATCCTTTGGACTTCCTAGGAATCCTTAGGAATTCCTAGGAATCCTTCGGAATTCCTAGGAATCCTTCGGAATTCCTAGGAATCCTTAGGAATTCTTAGGGATCCTCAAGAATTTCGGTTGTTGTGAGTGTTGTGTGTGTGTGTGGGGGGGTGTTGTGGGACACGGGTCGGGGCGCCCCGCCCTTACTAACAACAGCAACAACCACAGCCACAACAACAACAGCAACAACACCAACAACACCAGCACAACGACAACGACAACGACAACGACAACAGCAACAATCACCCAAACTGCAACAACCACAACAACACCAACAAAAACATAACAACAATACCAACGGCACCAACAACACCACCAACAACAAATATTTGAAGACTGTTCGCTCTTATCTGATCGCATGCCACTCAACACGTATATCCCGAATTCTCGATACCCGCCCTCTTCGTCTTCGATCGTGACACACTTGGGGATATATCTCTCTTTCCTGCAACGTGTACGTCGCGCAGCCCCTAAGGCACGGGAAGAGAGGACGGATGGAATGAAGGGACCAAAGGGGGGGGAGGGAGGAGCGTGGAGCACGAGCGAGAGAGCACCAGGATGGGAAACCAAGTGGCAGAACCAGACGTGCAGATCGGGCGGGTAGGCCCTGACGGGCGGGTCGGGAAGGCGGGCCCAGGCGGCCAGGTCGAACAGGCGAGTTGCTGAAGCGTGCGCCCTGCATGAATCGAAAAGAAGTCTCAGGCGATTGTGCGATTCCCATATGAATCTAGAGGAAATCCACAGTGAGAGCGTGATTCCTGAGTGTCGAGGGCGCGGCGTCTGGACAAAGTGTGGGAAAATCCCACGCGAGAGCGCGATTCCGGTACAAATTGCAAGGAAAACCCACGCGAGAGCGCGATCCCGGTATAAACTGTGAGGAAGTCCCGCGCGAGAACGCGCCTTGGGAATAGATTGCGAGAAATATCAAGCGGGAGCCGTTGTTGTTGTTGTTGTAAACCGGGGGCCAGGGGCCCAATTTGGTGACACCTTACTTTCCATTGTGAAAAACAGGATGCGAGCCCCGCGAGAAGCAGTTCAATCAACAAGTGCAATGGTTACCGCGCAGGGGGGATTAACAATACGCATTCTTGAAATATGAGAACTCAACAACAACGACGACAACGACAACGATAACAACAACAATAACAATAACAACAACATTACCAACACAATCAACAACAACAACAACAACAACAACAACAACAACAGCAACAACGACAACGCAAACGAAAACAACAACAACCACATCAGCAGCAGCAGCAACAACACCAGCAACACAAGCATCAGCACCACCAACAACAATAACAGCAGCAGCAACACCACCACCAACAACAACGACCCCAACAACAACAACAACAACAACAACAACAACAGCAACCACAGCAACCACAGCAACAACCCCAACACCACCACCACCACCAACAACAAGACCACAACAACACCACCACCAACAACAACTATCAGTTGAAGAACAACGACCCCAACAACAACAACAACAACAACAACAGCAGCAACCACAGCAACCACAGCAACAACCCCAATACCACCGCCACCACCAACAACAAGACCACAACAACACCACCACCAACAACAACTATCAGTTGAAGACTGTTCGCTCGCATCTGCTCACATGCCACTCAACACGGATATCCAGAATCCTCGATACCCGCACTCTCCGTCTTCGATCGTAACCCCCATGAGGCTTCTGGCACGCGTCGGTGCGAGTGCGTG